CCTTTGGATTAGGTCTGCTTTAGACCCCGTGTGATAAGGTCCTAAGCTTTGGCCATAAGCTAAAAGGGAATCTTGAATGAGCATATTTCATGAGTACCCCCATTATGTCTTCCTGCATAACAGGGAGTTGGAATAAATGCCCCTTGTGGTCCCTCCAACTCTAATAAGGCTGCATCTGCACTGCAGAAATAATCTGGGTAGACAACACTTTAACTCCCATGCTCCATGCTATGGAATTCTGGGGATGGTAGTTTGTTGTGGCATGCCACAGTATACTACAATCCCCAGAATTCCATAGCATGGAGCCATGGGAGTTAAAGTGCTGTCAACCCGGATTATTTCTGCAGTGTAGATGCAGCCTAAGATTCTGTGATTCAGTTCTAAAGAAGCTCCAGCAACCAGCCAGCTCTAGGCAGGCCTCGCTCCCGAGCCATAAATGGGCGTTTAGTGTCTTTCCATTATGGTTTATGGGACTGTAAAATTTAAGCAGCTCCCATTAGAGCTTCTCTTGGCCCTACATCAAGGGGAAAAAGGAGCCTACACGGATGGTGGATTTCAGCAGACTCAAGACCAAATCCGCCCTCTTCCATGCTCACCTCTTTGGGCAGGGAAGATGAGGAGGGATTGTAGGGCTGGGGAGAGGACCTCATAAGGGCACTTCTTACAAAAGGGAAGATTGTTTTCCATTTTGGAATTTATTCTTGATTCCACTGTGGAATCAGTTTTTGGGAAAGGGGCTGAGGAGAGATTGCAGGAAAATGGGTACACAGAAAAGGATACAAACTTTATCATTGCATCTTTGGAAAAGATACTTAAATGTGGGTTTATGCACTTGCTGCCATTCTGTTTTCTTATGGTTTGCTTTTATATTATTTATAGTGTAAAATGTGTATGTGTGTGTGTGTGTGTAAATAAACAGGAGGTTTTTTTTATTTTTACCTTGATTACAGTCTGTCTTCTGATTATTGGTTACAATTGTGTGTCTCCCTCTGTGTGTGTATGTATAAATATATGCATACACACACGCAATTATGTATGTACAAAAGACTTATTTATATATCTTATTTATATGCTATCTATCTCATGTATGGACCCAAGGCAGCTCACGACAAATGCTTAAAAACAGTATAACTTTAAAAAGAGCATTTAAACATCAGATCAATCTAACAAGTTAAAATATATATTATTGGGGTGTGTGGGGGTGTGTGGGTGTGTGTGTGTGTGTGTGTCACACCTGCCAACTTATTCAGACCCCATGAATTTCATAGGGTTTTCTTAAACTCGGATGTAGTTTTGTCAGTTCCCTCCTTTGAAATACAGTGGGCCCTTGGTATCCACTGGGGTTTGGTTCCAGGATCCCCTATGGATACCAAAATATGTGGATGCTCAAGTCTCATTAATCAGGTAGTAAAATGGAATCCCTTACATAAAATGGCAATATCGAGGTTTGCATTTAGGAATTTATATTTTTTTAAAAT